TTTTTTTTTTTTTTTTTTTTTCATCTTGAGGGTTTTTTTTCCTTCTTCTTCAGAAAACAGTGTTGTTGTGACCTTGTGTTCTGTCAGGGTGATGGGAATTTCTCATCCAGCCTGTGATGGGCCCCACCTTGAGTTCCCCGGTACCAAAACTTGCCACAGCCCCTTGGCTCTGTTTTGGAAACAACCTTTGGCTTCTATCCCTGCACTCAATCTCTCCTCGAGGTTTTTGCGTGGCACGAAAAGCCGAGTGGCCGCATCCCTCCACGGTTGCACCTCGGGGCCGGCCGCTGACCCTCCACGCCGTGTTTTTCTTGACCCACGGGTCGGTTTGGTGGATGCAGCAGGATGCTGGCGCGGGGACGGGCTGGAGCAGAGCTTTGCCATCAGCCTGTGTGGCCCGGGCTTGTCCTCCTGCCTCCGCCGTGTCCATCGATGAACCTCAACCCATCTCCTTTCTGTTTCTGCCCATCCCTTAGCACGTGCCAGAGAGACGGGGCTCCCCTTCCCCTCCCCGCCTGGTGGGTGTCGTCCATCGGCAGGGACCCTCCTCGCACGCCATCGGGAAGCCTGGGAGGTGCTTGACAATTTTTTATTTTTTTGCTTCTTTTTTCTCGTTCCAAGTTCTGCTGGCACTTTAGCAGGGGTGTTTGCAGCATGAGAAATGGCCATGATTTTACTGCCTGTGTTTGGTACCTATCATGTGATACTTGAAGAGATCAGGGGTGTTTTGCCCTGTGTTTGAGTCAGCTCTTTTGTTTTTTTTTTCTGTTTTTTTTTCCCTCTCTTTTTTTCTCCTCTTTTTCTTGCGTTGTTGATGTAGTGGGCACATCTGCCACCCTGACAAAATGCCTCTTCTCTAAGAGTATAACCTCTCCAATAGTTGTGTATAATTAAAGAACTGTAAACTTTTTTTAAAATAAAATATGTATATACCTTGAAGCTTGGCTGATGCTTGATCGCCGAGAGCTTGGTCTTGCAGGAAAGACCTTGGACCTTGTGGCTTTGACTCTGCATCCCACCACGACTTCACCCATGGCCCATCTACGCCAGATCAAAGCCGTGCCGGGGCCTGGAGATGATCTGCTGGAGGTGGGAGCAGAGGTTGTTGCGCACACCCGACGCGCCGAGGGTAGTGCTTGGGGTAGGCGGCTCCTCCAAGCAGCTGGGCGATGTCCCTGCATGCCTGGTGACCACGGTCGGGGCGCTGAAGCTGATTTTTAGGGTCTTGGGCTGAAAATGAAGGATCTATCCCCATCATCCCTCCACCTGCGCAGCCTCGTAGGGTGAATTTCTTTCCAGGTGTCTTCTTGCAGCAGGACAAGTCGTTACAGGTGATTCTTCCTGAGATGCCGTCGTGGGAGCGTGTTTGGTGTCCTGGGCTGGTAATTCTGGCAGAGGTGGCTGTTTTCTGTATAATTGTGCATAATTTGGGCTTGATGTTACGTGGGGATCGGGGTAACGTATAATAGAGGATGTGAGCGGAGTGGGAGCAGTTCAGGGACACCTGAGTTGGTGTTTTGGGGCTGTGTGAGGGCCAGGGGAAGGGGACAGCAGCCTGGCCTCTGCCTTGTCCTCATCCCAGTTTAACTCGCTCCAGTTGTCTTCCCAGATGTGCTGGAGCCGAGCCAGACCTTCCTCTCCATCACCCTCCTCCTCCCACCCTTCCTCTGCTCCAGCCGTTTGTCACCCTTAGGACGCAGCTTGGGGACGGGGTGGTGGCTCCGTGTCATGCCAGTGCCACCTGCTGCCAGCACCCAGCCTGGCAGCCCTGAGCACCTTGGGGTGATTCTGGGTGCAGGGGGTGGGACACACCGGCCCAGGGCCACCTCCTGGGACCACCAGCCCTCCGCGCCCTGCCCCTTGCCCTGGGGAGGGAGCAGTGAAGGGAGGGACAGCCCTATACCCCCCCACCTCCGTGTCCCCCACTTTTAGGGGGGCTCTTAGGGCCAGCCGGGGGTGGCACTGTCCCCTCTGCCCAGCAGGTGGCCCCCGTGCCACACCAGTAGCCTCCCACTCTGCCCAGTACAAGCTACAGCTGGCCCCGGCGCTGGGTGCCCTCCCTGTCCCTTGGCTGTGGCCCCATCGCTGCTCTGTCCCCTGGGTGCCAAGTGCCACCACACACCATCCAACCATCCTTCCTCGGGATTTTGGGCTCGGTTTGGCCCAACCCGAGCTCCCACGGGGCCCTGGGAGGTGGGTGCTGTTTGCCGGGGGTCAGCGCTAGGGGTGACGTGGGGGACAGGGACCCATAGCTGGCGGTGGGTGCTGCTCGGTGCTCCCAAGACCTCACCCTGCCCCGTCTGTGCTGATGCCGAAGGGCACCAAAGGGCAAAGCCCTGAACCTAGGCACCCCCCCGGTTCTGGGTGCCATCCCCATGGGGGTCTGGGTGACATCACTGTAGGGCCCCAAGTACCTTCCTGGTGGGGCTCTGGGTGCCGTGACCAAGGGGATTTAGGTGCCATCCCCACGGAACTCTGGTTGCTACCACCACAGGGCCTTGGGTACCATCCCCAAGGGATTCTGGGTGCCATTGCCACGATGCTTTGGGTGCCATTCTCATGACACTTTGGGTGCCATTCCCATGGCGCTTTGGTGCCGTCTCCACAGGGCTCTGGGTGATATCCCCGTGGAGCTCTGAATACCTTCCTTGCGGGGTGCTGGGTGCCATGCCCCAGGGGCTTTGGGTGTCATCCTCAAGGGGCTCTGGGTGCCATCATCACAAGGATTGGGTGCCATCCCTGGGGAGCTCTGGGTGCCATCCCCACCGGGCTCTGGCTGCTGTCACCACAGGGCCTTGGGCACCACCCCCAAGGAGGTCTGGGTGCCATCCCCAAGGGGCTTTGGGTGCCATCCCTGGGGGGGAGTCTGGGTGCCATCCCCATGGTCACACAGCCCCTGTGACAGAGGAGGGGGACAAGCCAGCGCTGGCAGGCGCTCAGGGCTCCGATCCCAGGGCTGTTTATGGGGTGACCTGGGACATCCCCTCCCCTCATGGCTTTGTCCCCGCACCAGGACCTTCCACTGCAGAAATCACTCCCCGTCCCCCTTGGGGACCCAAAGGACCGTGGGGACAGCCCCAGCTGAGGGGTGCTGCACACCCATCCCGGATGCGACCCCAAGGGAAGCCGGAGCTGCAGCCTACAGTCCCAACCCCGGGGTGGGGGGACATGCACCTCCAAGCCCCAAGCGGGCACCGAGACGGGCCACTTGTGGTGACCCCGAGGGCCACGGGGGACACCTGAGCCTGCTCTGCCTGCCCCGCGCCGGCTCCGGTTACGGCCCGAATTGTTTCTCCCGGCTGGAAGAAATGCCGTCAGCGCCGGCGGATCGGTGGCCATTACTAATGCATGATGCTCCAGCGGGAGACGGCTGGGCACCGACCCCCCGCAGCGGGGCTGGGCCCCCCCAAACCACCTGCGTCCCTCGGGGAGGGCAGGAGGGACAGAGATGGGTTTAGGGAAGGGTCTCACTTGCTCTTTGCTTCATCCAGGTCCTAAACGCCCAACGCAGCAGGTCGGGGCCTGGTTAACACACGGGTCCGGCGGGAGCACGAGCACGGTGGGGCCGGAGCCGTGGCCGTGCTGCCGAAGGGGCCTTGGCCAAGAGGGTCCCCGGCACCCCACCACATCCCGGGTGACCAGGAGTGGTTCTGCAGGGAACGTTCACACCTCGGGGATTGTTTGCTGACAAATATCTCTGGTTTTCCCCATAATCGGTGATTCTGACCCATTTGCAGTCAGGGGGTTCTTCCTCCCGCCCTTTGCTCCTTCCCAATTTTTAGCTCTTTTTCCCTAAATTTTCTCCTTCACCCCCAGTTTTCCTCTCCCCAGCTGAGCTCCGTGATGCCGAACCTGGCAGCTTCACCCCTCACCCACCCCAGATCAAGATCCCCCCCAAAACCGGGGTGGCCCAACCCAGCGGGATGGGTGATGCCGACCACCCCCCATCCCTGGGCTTCATCCCCATTTTTAAACCAGGATCTCGGGGTGGGGGCTGGATTTTGCCAGCACCAGCCTCTCCGGGGCCATAAAACGTGCTGGGGAGGGCTCCCCAGCTAATGTACTTCAGTTGCGCTCCCTCATCCCTCCGCATCAATATTGCATTATCGTTTCCATCCCCATCTGAGCCCAGCAAGGAGCCGCGGAAAGAAACCCGGCCCTGGCTGAGCCCCCGCACCGAGCGTTGCCAGGTCTCAGCGCCGGCGGGGCGGCTTTGCCCGACCCCCTCCACCTTTCCAGAGGCTCTTCCAGGTCCAACTCCATTAAATATTCGGTTGAGGAACAAAAGAAGACGATGTAAATTTTTAAACAGGGCCATTTGCTCCGCTCGGTTTACGCGGGCTGAGGCCTCGACGAAATTTTGGCCGTACCTTTGTGGAGCCGAAATATTGATGGTGCTGGGGAGAGGGGTGAACCCAGCGCTGAGGGGCCCCGTGCCGAAATTGGGTTGGCACTATGCAGGTCATCAAGGTGCCTCCTGGCTTGGGGATCGTCCTGGGGTCTCAGGGACTATCTCTGGGTGTGGGCACCATCCCAGGTTCCTCCTTGCTTGGGGACTATTCCAGGGTCTCGGGGACAATCCAAGGTGCCTCCCTGCTTGGCAACCATCCCCGGTCTCGGGGACTATCTGTGAGCACAGGGACCATCCAGGGTGCCTCCCTGTTTGGCCACTATCCTGGGATCTTGGGGATCATCCTGGCTTCTGGAGAACATATGGGGTACTTCCCTTCTTGGGGACCACCTGGGAGTCTCAAGAACCATCCTGGAGTCTCCAGGACCGTCCTGGACTGTTGAGGAACATCCTTGCACCTGGGGACCATCCAAGGTCCCTCCCTGCTTGCATACTAGCCCAGGATCTCAGGGACCATCTGTGGGCATGGGAACCATGTGAGGTGTCTCCCTGCCTGGGGACCATCCCAGGGTCCCGGGGACCATCTGGGGCTCTTG